CACACACACACACACACACACACACACACACACACACACACACACACACACACACCAAACACAACTAGCTGTGGTAATGTCATACAAGCTGTTGCGCCCCTCACACAGCTTACTTCTCATACAAACCAAATACTTTTTTCTATTGTTTTCAGTTTAATGTTTACTCAGATCATCAGATCATTAAAGCTTTAGCAACCATTAAAAATACGGTTTATTTTTAAAAATATAAACAAAAAAACTTTTTTTGTTTGTATTTTTATTTTTTAAGTTGTTTGCTATAATGTGGGTTATAATGTAGTTTAGGCTGAATTATTTTGGCATCTTTTAATAGTCTTCTATGACATACTATTATCAAATATTCTGTTAGTCTTACTTTTCCTGTAGCGCCACCCTGAGGTGGAGGTTTGGTATTTATGTACTCAGACGTACATTTTGTGTTCATTTCTCTTTCAGGATGCTGGACTGTAACATTTAAATCAGGTTGTTTTTATAAGAAATGAAATGATGATTTGTGGGAGTAAACTAAATATTTTCGACATTTGGAGAAACAGGAAAAAGCAAACCATAAATGGAGTTCCTGTGACTCCCATCAGTTTTGATCCATTGCATTAATATTCAGCACGAAGTGATCATTTCTCAACCTTATCACTGGTCATTTCTCAGCAAACCGCGTCATCGTCTTTGTGATCAATTTTTTCCTTCAGCTCAGTGATTCTGATTCAGTAAACTCTCAGAGAGCCTCTAATGCAGCTCTAAACTTCTCAATAAGACCTGCGTGATGTCGTAAATGTCCACCGAGAGGATTTCTATTTCAGCCGCTCTTCTTTCTCTTTCCTTTCCCACCCGACTGCACAGCAGCTGACCTTTGACCCACATGTTGTCCCGTCAGGGTTGTGTTGTGCTACGTCACACTCACGTGATCTCCCCGCTGTGGTCATTCTGGCTGTTTGATGAGAACAGCTCCTGCTCAGGGTTTTTAATATGCTTCACGAGTTTTGACTTTATTTATTTATTTATGTTTTAAGGTGATTTAAGGAGGGAGATCTTCAGCAGCAACAATGTGAAATAAAGAGTTTACATCAAGTACAATCTGTATTTAATGAATATTTAACTTCCTGTGCTGCTTCCTGGTTGGGTCAAATAAAGTTCAGGGACTGGGTATTCTGAACTCCATCCTCTTCACTTCTGTTTGTTTTAATAAAGAGGAAATTCAACACTTCCTGCAGCTCCATATATTTTCAATTAAAGCTTATTTTTTATGTTGTTTTACGGATTAAAATAGCTTCATGTCAAACATTTGAGCTTAACTGATGCACAGATGTGGTTTATAAGATCATTTTAGTTTGATCTGAAAGGATGTTTGAAACTTAAAAACTTWAAATCTTTGTAAAAGTAGTGATTAAAGAAAACCATTTTTATCGAATGAATTACAGGAAAGGTTTTTGTGTAGACTTGTCTCTGGTCTTTGACTTTGCAGACCTGCAGGTGGAGCATTAACGGTCCCCACACCCACACTTCCCCCTTCTTATCTTTTGGGTTTTACTCACCGTTGCCCCCCTGACCACTGACGGGATGACCACGCTTTAGAAAATTAGAAATCTCTAATGTTTAACTGACCAAACAAAAACMAAAAACACACAAAGAGCTGCAGCTGCTGCTGAATATTTGACTTTAAATCTTAGAAACTCTAAAGTCTGACACGTTTAATGCACATCTGCTGAAGCCTTAGATCACATCTAAGAGAAAGAAGTCCTCTTTTTTATATTTTATGCAAATTTCTAAAGTCTTTTGACCAAAATTAAATGCAATGTACCTTATCTTTTGTCCTGACACTGATTTATTGTTTTTGTTTAAATKTAACAGTTTGTTGTCAGCCTCGGGGTTTATTCAAGCTGTCTGCAGGGGACATATTGACTATCAATCTGCATCTGACTAACCATCAGTGGTTCACTGTTTGAAACGACAAAAAGACCCTCAGCTACATCTGCTGGRAGTGAGGCAGTTTCAGGTGGTTGTAATGACACAGTTACAACAGTCGTTATAACATTATTAATAACATGAATTTGTCTAATCAACAATATGTCCATCCTGTCATTATTTGTGTTTCCTTCAGCATTTTTATGCACATTTTGATGCAGCACATTAGAAAAGCTGAATGGAAATGGCAACGTTCGCCAAAAAGTTTTTACGCTCGCTTGAGGTGGTTTTTGTTTTTTCCGAAAAAATAAAAACAGCTACTGCATAAAAGGGGAGGTGGAAACACATTTGCAGAGTAAGTTCTGACGTAGAGAACATTTACCTCAATCAGCTGTTCCTGCTGTCCAATAACTGCAGCTGCAGCTGGACCCTCCTCCTGCTGTCGGCGTCTTCCTGGATTTTCCCGCAACATGAAGAGAATTAAGTTTCTTTTTCTACGTTCTCAGACAGCAGGAACATCACCAATACTAGCTTTCCTGATAGTAGCAACACGTTCCTGATAACTTCTCTGCATTTTCCTGAGATGTGCTCCTTCGTGTTTGTGATTTCCTACAACCATGCATGTCTGACGTAATTACACTTTGCTTAGCCTGATTGATTCGCTCCAAACCAGTTGACGGAAACACGTCTGATGTACATTTCTTTATTTTTATTTTTTTGCAACATTTAAAAGTTCGCTCAAAATTTACATTAAAGTTGGATGGAAACACGGCTTCTGATCATCTGCTCCCTTCACCCCTTCCATATGTTTGTTCCCCACCCCACCCCCACCCCTCCTTAGCTGCTCTCTTTGCAGAGTAGTTTTTTTGTGCGCGTGCTCGTGTGTTTTTCTGTATAAAACACAGGACCAAAGCTCTTTTTTAAAACTCGTCCTTCCTATGTGTGTGTATTCTAAACTGCACGGTTAGCGCACGACGTTGCGAATGACCGTGGACATTCGTTCCACCATGTTTGTTGTGTTTCTCCGGACGGATGTTCTAAACTGCATTTCGTTCTGCCTTGCATCTTTGATGTTGTGTGTGAATGACAATAAATGATTCTGATTCTGATTTGAACACAAACAAGCAGGTTTTCTGAATTGTAATGATTYCTGGGAGGTGGTTGATGGAGTCACTCTGTGTGTGTCACATTTTCTGAATGATCATGATGAGTTGTGAAGAGATGATCTTTACCTGAGCTACAGCTATATGGTGGTTTGTGTGTGTGTGTGTGCCATCACAGAGCTTCAAACAGGCCGAGCCTTCCTCCTCATTAGTCTGCAGCAGCTCTGCTGAGAAGCACAGGTTAGCTCCAGAGAGAACCAACACACCTCTCTTTTTTTCCACATTCRCACGTTGCACACGCACACCTGCTGACAGTGAAGCAGCTTTTAAAGCAAAGCGCTCATCATCGCTTGTGTAGCTCCGCGTCCCACATATCTGCAGCTTTTCTGTTCAACATACACACAGACACGCCACGTACCAATTTAGGTGCTTTAATGATCTCTCTGAACTCCCATTAAGAGGCCGTGTCCCACAGACAAACCTAACGACTGCAACCAGGTGTAAAATAGATGTTTTCAGGCGGATAAACAAGTGATTATTTTCCTCAGCTGTTGTTTGGCCTTTGGATTGTGTGAAAAAGAAATGATGCACCTCTCAGGTTTGAAGCTGATTAATAAAAAGGCTGATGGGATCTTTTTTTTTTTTTTTTTTTGGTGTAGTGAAAACATGTCCTCACCTTTAAAGCTGGAACAATCAATGTTTTCCTGATTTTACTACTTAAGTAAAATTAAATCATGGACACAATACTGTTAATTAATTTCCTCTTTAGGACAGATTCATTTTACTATTTTACTTGTAACAAAATCTAAATTTAATACACAACACGTTTATTAAATCTGTCTTGCTCGACAAAGATAAATACATAACCAGTAGAATTCCTTTCAGCTACTATCACATATATTTTTAGGTTATTATCTGTAAAACTGACAGCGTTTTAGCCATTTTAAAGTCACAGATCAGTGACATAAACCTTCTTTAGATCAGTTTAATGCCTCTATTATGCATCTAAGACGTAAATCAAAACCTAATCACAGAAATAAGCCCCCTCAGTGCTGGGATTCAGAATAAATGGGGTATAAATAATAGCAGAATAAATCTTTCATATTCTTTTTTTTTCCTCCTTCCTCCAGTGACAAACTTCAACAATGGCTTGGAAGCCAGTTCAGACTCGGATGATGAGGATAAGCTACATATTGTGGAGGAGGACAGCCTGCTGGAGCCTGACGCYGCTGATGCTGACGGGGCCACACCGCTGGACAGCCATGATGCCGCCATAACAGTATTACCACTCAACGGCTCCTGGAACGGAGGTGAGACGTAACCACGGGCTTGGTGCTTTTTTTTTTTTAGGTTCATACTTTAAACACGCAGATTTCATCAAATATTTAAATTAAAATATATATTTTTCTTTGTTAGAAATTATTTAACAGCTTATCTTTGATATTCAGTTTGCAAGTTTGGATTTCTGATCCATTTAAAAAACAGACCAGAGGCTGAGAGTCCAGACGAGTGGGTCGTGTTTTTATTTTCATCACGACTGTAAATTAAGCTTAAAGGAATGTTAAGAACAGCAGAACTGCTCTTTTATCTTTATATGATCACGTGGCTCCCTGAGCAGCTGCAGGTTTGTGTTCACTGAGTTTTTTTTGTTACATTATTGTGGGCAAAGACTTCACTTATCAGCTGAACACAATCACAGCTCAGTGGAGTGTGACATTTTCACAACTCAGAAATAAAAACACGCAGAAGATCAAGATGTTTTACAGTGAGAGCAAACATACCAACATGATAGAGACTGATGGAGAAACAATACAGTAATACTAGAATACATAATACAAAGGTTTTTAGTTTATTTACATTTGCTAACAGGCTAAAACAGTGATAGACTAGAGGTTTAAATACAAACACYCACCAGAGAAATTGCATTTCCTGTGAAAATGCTAGTGTGAATGTTTAGTGCTGAAAAGCTTAGCTGAAAGCTGCCGAAATGGAGCAGCAAAACTGTTAATGCCAGTTCAATTTGAAAAGCTGAAGGCAGCACAAAAAAGCAGAACTTAGCAGAAAAAGCTCAAATTAGCATAAYAACAAGCTAAAGGAAGCAGCCACAAGTTGAAATTAGCACCTAGATAGTAAAAAGGTTTAAAATATGTCAAACAGAAAAACAGCATGAAAGTATAAAAAATAATTTGTTGTAAAGTAGCTTAAGCAGCCAAAATTTAAAGCAAAACAGCTGAAATGTAGCCGAACATGCAAATATAAGCAAAAAGAAGATGTGTTTGCTGAAGTATGCAGAAAAAAATGCTTAAAAAGTCACCAGAATGTGTATTTAGGTTGAAAACTTTAAATTTAGCAACAAACTGCTAAACAGTAGCCAAAATGCAGAAAGCACCAAAAATTCGCAGAATGACATTGAAATAAGTATAAAAGCTCAAATTAGCAGRAAAAAGTGCAGCAAAAGGTGCTGTAAAGATTTAGAAACATTTTAAAGGATTTTAAGGATATTGAAAACAGCTCCATTCATTTGCAATGGGAAAAATGTGGCCGAAAAAGTGAAATAGCTAAAAAGAAAGTATACATAGCTGAAATACCAAAAGTCATAGCTGGAATGTCCTGAATGAGCTGAAAGTTTTGATAAATGAGCTGTTAAAATAACACAAAAATCCATCAGAGACTTATGAGACATGTAGAGCTCTGCTTCACCTGCATGCAGTGCAAACACAGGAGATGCTCAGCTCTGATTATATAACCACAGATTATATCAAAGTGATGCCTCTTATTGTTATGTATCATGTTCATCACACATACAGTGAAACTAAAACCAGTTGTGCTCATTTGATCTCAAAGTGTGACCTGATTTCTGGTCCCTGAATGATTATAACATCTTCTATCCCTCAGATATCCACCAGAAGTCAGTCCAGACCCTTATGAGCCCCAAAAATTGCATCCATATATTAAATTTAGGGCATCAGAATCAAACCCCATCCATCTCACCTGGCATCCAATTAGTGCCCAAAATTACTAATGATTTAGAGCTCAGGGCTTTAAGATTGTTTACGTGTGTACTCCTGTTTTCTCTTTGATCAGATTAGCCCATCTTCCTCTCAGCCTCAGGGAGTTTCCACTTGCCTGCAGAGCCAGATGTTCTTCCTTTTCTATCTCACTTTTAGGTCTGCCTTTAGAACGCCTCACGCTCAAAGCCAATGCAAACACAACATGCACAGATAGATGCTCTGATACGACCCTCACTCACCTCCCTCTGAGCTATAATCTTTGAGAAATTTAAGAAAAACACTTTGAAGATKGTGAATGCAGCCTTCAGCAGCAGGTAATGTCCTCATAAAAACATAAAACCCAAGCAGGAGCAGCTTGACTACTTATTCTATAAAAATCAAGATATTAACCCCTTACACAATACAGACAGTTTGTATTCAGAGGTAAGAGTTGGAAAAAAAACTTGTATTATTACGAAGTGCCAAACATTAAAATAGACATATGATGCTTTTAAATCCTTTTTTTCCATTTAAATCCTTCAGATGAGGTCTATATATAGTGGATCTGCAGTGCTTTGGTCTGAATAAGAGGGTTTCACGTGACGTCACGATGCAGTACCACGAGAGCGCGAAGTTCAGATGGAGATCAGGAA